TGATACACTATTAACAGTATCTTCTGCCGTCTCTTTTTAAAGACCATTCTTCTTCTTTTACTTCCCCAGGGGGCACTGTGTATTTTTGGGTCTCACCTAGACCCTCGGTTTTAAATTGGGGGGAGCAACCTGCTGTTTACCTAAGTGGTCCCAAACCTTCTTCCTCCTGGACTTGATCTCTAATTATATTCCTTTCCTATTAAAGCCTGTCTTTCCAACCTATCCACAAATACTGGTCTAGTTGCCCCTATTACTCTCTGGTTCCCTGTCCCATAGAGCATTGTTTTCCCACATTTGATTTTCAGTCCATATACGCTTTTTCAGGTTAATTATATTTCCTATAAAGAGCATCTCAGTGAACCCTACCTCCTGATCTACTCTACCTGTGATTCTCTTTTTCTTTTTAATTTAGTATATCAAGGCCTTCTATATTAGAGTTTATAACCAACCTTCTCTGCCTCATTTCTGTTGTGCTCTTTTTTTGCCATTAGTTGTTGCTGGTCTTCTTCATTCTGCTTTCTCCTCCTTTCATTGAGGCCTCTCTGTCACTGTCCTTGGAATCCTGATACTTTTCTCTCTCTCTAGAATGCCCTGCAGTATTCTCTGTAGAGTTAGATTGGTGGTCGCGAATTTCCCCAGTTCCTCTTTGTCTTGGAAGCATCTTGTTTCTTCATTAATTTCTAGAGACAGTTTTTCAGGCTATATCAATCCAGGCTGGAGGTTATTTTCTTTCAGGGCTTGGAATATTTTGCTCCAAGCTCTTCTTGACTTGATGGTTTGTGTTGAGAAGTCTGCCATAATTCTGATTGGCCTTCCTTTATAGGTGATCTGTTTCTTATCTCTAACAGCTTTTAATATTGTTCTTGTATTGAATTTCTGTGATCTTGATTATTATATGCTTGGGTGTAGCTCTGTTCGGGTTTGTAGGTGGCTGGAGTTCTGTATGCCTCATATATCTTAGTATCATTTCCTTTTTCTATGTTTGGGAAGTTGTCCTTAATTATTTCTGTGAATAGCCTATGTAGTTCCTTTGTTTGTACCTCTGCTTCTTCATTCACATTCTTTATTCTCAGTTATAGATCCTCTTGTTTTCTTCTAGCCTTTGTATTGTTACTTCTTGTTTCCTTGTTTTTTTAAAAAAGTTCTTCCTTTTTTTTTTTATATACCGGTATCAGGGATCGAACTCACAACCACGTGCTTGCAAGGCAGATGCTTATGCCACTGAGATAATCCCCAGCCCCTAGTTTTTCCTTTCATAATCCCACATTGCAAACCTGTCCTTCAGTTTGGATAATCTATCCTTAGTTTCTTTCAAGCAGTTTTGCCAGCTTTCAATGGAGTTTTTAATTTCCTGGCAATCTCTTTGAATCTGCTTCATGTATTCTATATTTTCTTTATATTCTTCATCAAACTGTTCTCTCCTTTGTGTTCCTGCATTCTTCCATCTGTGTCTTCTGGGAGGTGCTTAGCATTTCTTTTATTCTATTTATATCTTGCTTTACTTTGTTAAATATTTCATTTTTGAACTTATCTATGAGGTCCCAAAGATACCTCTTTATGTCCACTGATGCTGTGTCTGACATTGCATGTTTGCTGTCCTCAATCTCTTTTGTATTTATCTTTCCTGGATCAATGTTCTCAGGGTTAGGCTGGGAGCTTTTTCTTATTGCTTCCTCTTCTCATATTTCTTATTTCTTCTGTACAGGCATATAAAGAAGGCCTCAGTCCCTTTTTTGTTGTTGATTCTGGTTCTTCTGAGTTGTGCTGTCTAAGTGACCCTGCCTACTCCAGTGTGCTATTGGTGCAAATATGCTGGCCCCTCCCTCAGGGTCAGCCAGCCTGCTGAGGCCTTCACTGCCTTAGTATGCGCATCTGGTAGAGAACTGGTCTGGGATAACCTACTGGTTCTGAGCCCAGGGCGTGACCCAGGCCATGCACATCTCACCAGTCCCATCTGGGAAGGGAGCAACTGACTGAAGTCTCTGCAGTACCTTGTTTTTGCCAGTCCTGCCCAGTTCTAAGATGTCTTCCCCTTTCCAATGAATCAGGTCAATGTAGGTCCCAACAGTCAGGTCAGTGTAGGTCCCCTACTGGCTCTGCTCTCTGCCGGTCTTGCTGATCTCCGACTTCAGTGCACCTGGAGTTCAGTGTTACTGGGGTTCTGGCAAGTCAAAAGCGGCGGGAACCTGGTCAGCCTGTTGAGTCACAGCCGTGTGAGTTGGGGCGCACCAGCCAGTGCAGTTCTCTGGTTTGCTGCTCCCTTCTGCCCTTACATCTCCTCACCAAGGCCTTCAGGCTTGTCCGCCACCAGCTTCGCTGTGCCTGTGCATCTCCAGGTTCCAACAGTGCTTCTAGCACAGTGGGACTGGCTCTAGCCACCAGCTACCGCCTTGTTCTGTTCAAGTTTTTCTTTTTTAAAATTCTTTCTGTGGGCTTCAGTTCTCACTTTAGTTTCTTCCTGGGTCAAGGGGACCTACGTCTTTCCTGCTTTTCTTCTCCAGAATGCTATATTCCAGCCACTGGGCTGTTTCTCTCAGAGAGGCTTTTTACTTTGCTGCTTACTGTTCTGCCATTTTCCCAGACACCTCAAAATTGATTTTAAATTGTTTAGATTGTCTTTATTTTTCATATAAAGCTTTAAACAAAAGCCAGTGTATATGAAACAGAATTAAAGACAACTAAGCTGCTCTGTTTGCAGTGGAAAATAAAAAAAATAGAACTCCTGTACTAAAACCCCCATAGAGGATTCAGTCTCCTGTCCAGCAATATGGCACATAGATGCAAAAGGAAGACAAAGATAGAAAGATCTGGGATGACCAATATTCTCTGTGGAACAAAAGACCACGAGTCCAAAAACTCATGGCTTTTATTGGTATCAGTCAGGGAGTCATGGCAGAGTGCAAAGGAAGAGAAACTGCAGGCCTGACTGAAGGAAAAACAGCAATTTTGTACCAGGCACAAGGCTCTCCAGTGAGCAGTACAGTAGATAGCTTGATGTATGCAGGACTAGCACCTTTAATGCCAGGAAGATATAATTTTTTTGAGTCCCATGGCCTGTCTTAGCCCTGGAATATTACAGGCTTTTGTTCGAGCCGCCATTCAGGTTATTAGCAAGGGAAGCATTTCTTGCCCCTATGCTGCAATGAGACATCGTGGCCAGACTCAATCACATTGTTTTAGCTAATTAAGGGAACATCTGGTTCAATATAGCCAGCTCTGCATATCTCAGTGAGCAGGGTTGCAGTAAAGGTCAGGTAAAGATTGAGGCAAGAGGCTTGGCAGTCTCCCGTACTTCTGTTCTCTGAATCTGCTTGCTCCAAATCTATAATTCTAAGGGTAATATGAGGCTACCTGTGATTTGAAAGTCAGTAGACCAATTTACCAGTAGTTTTTCCTGGATCCCCTGCATACATCAGTATTCTAAATTTGAGAATGAGTGCATTTAACACAAAAGATAGGGTTAATTTGTTTCTAAAACTCAACTTGTTCTGAATATTATAAGATCCCTTTAACTGTACTTCTGTCCAAAGAGGAATAAATTACCATGAATAGACAAGCAATAAGTGCTCCTGTAGTTTGGTCAAGTTGGAGTATTATTTTCTTTTGGACAAAAATAGTTCTTGATTTGGCATAGTGGAACGAACACTCAATGTAGCAGGTTAAAGGTTTCAACTTTAGTTTGTTTATATGGATCAGGAACATAGTAAATATTGGATAATGCAGAAAAAGATTGGTATTATACTGTAGTTTTCAGTCCCTCTGTCTTCTTTTTAGTGCACACTTATGTAACCAAGGTCTCCATTTTCTCCATGAGGATTAGTTAAGGGATACAAGTAGCCTTTCTTGAATAGTTTTATTCCTTGTGTAGAACTAACTTGGGATATAGGAGTTAGTGTACCTTCTCTGACCAGAGTGGAAGAGGGAGCTAAGATAGGTAGACTGTGGGTGGAGTGGGATAAAGAAACTAGCAGTGTAAGAACACTGTTGTAGTTCTCTGAAAGTCAGAAGAAAAGTTGGTACATAGACATTAGAGAAGTCAGGAGCCAGTACACACAGTTATTGGTGTCTTGGTTGCTTTTCTTTTTGTTGCTGAGATAGAATACCTGACACCCAAAATGAAGAAAGGAAAAGTTTACTTAGCTTCAAGTTTTGTTTTGTTTTGTTTTGTTTTGTTTTTGTCTTTTTCGAGGGTCTCACTGTGCCGTTCAGGCTGGCCTTGAGCTTGCTTTGTAAACTAGGCTGGTCTGAAGCTTGCAAGGATCCTCTTGCCTCAGCCCCTGAATACTGGAATCACCACCACACATTTTTGTTTTTTGAGACAGGGCCTCACTGTGTAGATCAGGATGGCCTTGAACTCACTGTGTAGCCCAGGCTGATCTCTAAATTGCTGTGATCCTCCTGCCTCAGTCTTGTGAGTACAGTAATTCCCTGACTTAAAAATGAGTTCCATTCTGGGAGAACATTCATTAGTTAGATATTTGTTCATATATCCATAGATTTGTCCAAAATGTCTTCTACATCTTTGACACAAATATAGAATATATATTGCTTTGCACTTCCTAGCAGTTTATTCCATATCACCACTGCTTCTGCTCTTGCTTCAGGACATCCTGGGCTCAGATTGAGCATAGTACTAATACTATATGCTATTTCCCTGTACAGTAAGCACACAACATCACAACTGTGACCATATCCAGTAGATACATGAGCCACTTCAACACTTTGTTTGCATCTACACATGTTCATAATGTAAAGTCTGTTCATATCTGGGAAAGTTCGCAACTCAAATGTTCATAAATCAGGGACTTACTGTACTGGGATTACAGGTGTAAACACCATGCCTGGTGTACACATACACACACACTATTTTAAATGATTTGCATTCCCTGAAGTCATTTGAGTTTGCCATCCCTGGCTTGCTTCAGCTATGTAGCTTACTACAAAGACCTGTCATTATTGTATTTATTGCTTAACATTGATTTTAATCATTTTATTTTCAGTTTTGATGAAGCAAGAACACAGAGAAGAAATTGATTTGTCTTCAGTTCCACCTTTACCTGTGCCTCATTCTGCCCAGACCCAGAGATCTTCCTCAGATCCAGGGCTCCCACATGACAATGTACCACTGTCAGCACAGAGAAGCTTGGTTTTTCCTGTCCAGCAACCATATGCATCCATGGTAACCTCATCCCATTTACCACAGTTGCAGTGTAGGGATGAGGGTACTGGTAAAGAACAACATATGGCACCTTCAGTAGTCCACCAGCCTTTTCAAGTTATACCAACCTCTCCTGTGGGGTCTTCCTATCAGCCTATGCAAAGTAATGTTGTATATAATGGACCAACTTGTCTTCCTGTTAATGCTGCCTCTAGTCAAGAATTTGATCCAGTTTTATTTCAACAGGATACAGCTCTTCCTAGTTTAGTAAATCTTGGTTGTCAACCACTGTCATCCATCCCATTTCATTCTTCAAATTCAGGCTCAGCAGGACATCTCTTAGCACATACACCTCATTCTGTGCAAACCTCACCTAATCTGCAATTGATGGGATATCATTGTTCAAACACAGGACCGAGATCTCTCTCTTCTCCATTGTCCGACCAGGTCGGGGGTCAGCTTTCTCCTCAGTTGCAACTTATTACATATAGTCCTTCACATTCAGGGTCTGCTGCCACGGTATCCCAAACAGCCTCACATCCATTGGCTAGTTCACCACTTTCTGGGCCACCATCCCCTCAGCTACAGTCTATGCCTTACCAATCTCCTAGCTCAGGAACTGCTTCATCACCATCTCTAGCTACCAGAATGCATTCTGGACAGCACTCAACTCAAGCACAAAGTACAGACCAAGGAGGTCTTTCTGCATCTTCATCCTTAATATGTCACAGTTTGTGTGATCCGGCATCATTTCCCCCTGATGGGGCAACTGTGAGCATTAAACCTGAACCTGAAGATCAGGAACCTAACTTTGCAACCATTGGTCTACAGGACATCACTTTAGATGATGGTAAGTTCATGTGTGTATTTTTGGGGATGCAAGGGGTGTACTGGCAGTTGAACTCAGGACCTTGCATTTTCTAGGCAGTCATTAAGCTACTGTGCTATATCCCCAACCCCATCTATGTATTCTTAAAACAATGCAAATTCAGATTTTTCTTCTCAAAAGTTACAAAAAACTAAGTGACACACACCCTTAATCCCATCACTCAGGAGGATCCTTGAGAGTTCACTAGCCTGGGCTACAAAGTAAGCTCCAGGCCAGCCTAAACTGCAAAGTGAGACACTATCATAAGAAGACCAAAGGAAAAAAAATTATGAAAAAACTACCAGATCTTACTGTCATGTGGCTTTTTAAAGAAGTTGTAATTACTAGCCAAGGTTGTATATGCCTGCTTTCCTACCACTCGTGAGGCAGAGTGAGAAAGCTCCCTTGACCCCAAGAGTTTGAGACAGCCTGAGCAATATAACAAGACTCCATCTTAAACAAAAAACCAAAAACGTGTTTTGCAGAAGGTAGAAGGAAAGCAAAGAGCAAAAGGCAATGGCTATTAATAAAGAAAGTACAACTAGGGAAAGGAAGAATTTCAAGAATAGGTATTACTTAGCCTTTGAGGATCATGTGATTGCAGGGAGTGTGGTAGGCCTGGTGCAGAAATCAGTTCTAGCCCTGTCATAAGACCTGTTCATAAGTAAAAGTATTTATATAAAAAAAGTTGTTGCTGGGGATTTAGCTCAGTGGCTAAGTGCCTGCCTTGTATATGCATGGTCCTGAGTTCGATCCCTGGTACCAAAAAACAAAAAAAGTTATTAGAAAGATATATATAACTGAGCAAGGATGTGAAAATCTATGCTTACAAGTCTGTTTTACCACTAATGCTTCCTGCTGAACAAGGCACCTTTTCTTCTGAACATGTACTAAGGTCACAGAGTTAGTGTAATCCTTTTTCAAGGCATGGAGTAGATACTAAGGAATATTTAGAGAATACTAAGAAAGTATTAAGATAATCTGTCCTCAAGGAGACTTACACAAGTAAAGAACCTGGTTGCTCCCTTATGGCTGTGCCAACTTACAGAGCAAGAAAGTTGCAGTGAACTAATTTCTTGCTGCTGCTGGAGCTGTTGGTGCAAGGATAAAAAAACCTTTTTATAACGTAGCAGATTGTCATGCAAATTTCTGATTTTAGGGCCAAGGATATAACTCTGGCACAAGCATCTCTCTGGCAAGCACAAGGTTCTGAGTTCGATTCCCAGTACAAAAAAAAAAAATTCTGATTTTAAGAGACAAATAAATTGGAGAATTCAGGAATATTAGCTATTTCAAAAATTGAAAATTCCCATAGATAAAATTTTCAACTAAAAATTACAGAATTTATTTTTGGCTTTGTCACTTATATAGTAGTGAAATTTTAATTCAAATGTGTTAGCGCATACCTGTAATCTCCACACTCAGAAAACTGAGACAGGAGGATCACTGTGAGATCAAGGCCAGCCTAGACTACGAAGTGAGTTCAAGGCCAGCCTAAACTGCATAGTGAGACCCTGTCTCAAAAAAACCAAAAAAAAAACAGAAAAAAATAAATTTTGTCTGAGTAATATTCAATGAAAGCTATATGAAACTATTGCCCAGTGTGAAAGTTCTAAAAATTCTGGAACATGGATACAGAATTTTAGTTCTCAAATTCAGAATTCATCTACTGTAGGAAAATAATTATAGATAGATTTGTCTCCTTTTATAGAACTAGCAAGACGAGTTCTCTATGGTACTTAGTTGTGTGTGAAGCTAATATTAAATCCTAAGTCCTAAGCACAGGAGCAAAGAAAATAAATATTGGGGCTGGGGATTTAGCTCAGCGGCATAAGCGCCTGCCTTGAAAGCAGGCAGTTGTGAGTTCGATCCCTGGTACCGATAAAAAGGAAAAAGACAAAAAAAAAAAAAAAAAAAAAAAAGAAAATAAATATTATGTGGCACTATGACTCCTGGGGCTTTCCAGTCAGACCAGTACATGACTTAACAGTTTAAACAATGCAGCAATTCTGAGTCACTATAACCACAGTATGAAAGAAACATACCAGAAGATGTGTAGAGATATATGACAAATCCTTCCTAGGAAGGATTCTGCAAGGCTTCTGTAAGTCAGTGACATTTGAGCTGAGTCTTGGAAGGTGAGTATATGTTTCAGTAAATGGGGATCAGAGAACAACTCAGTAAATACAGAAACAAAGATACTCGAGAAAGCATAATTCTGTGACTATGAAACAAGATCAGTAAAGAATGATTTTTAGAGGCATAAAGGGGTCATTTGTATGTAACAAGATAAAAATGTAAACTAAACCAGTATCTTTGCATATCATTTTCTTATTTGTTATCTGATCCATTCTACCATTCCTCTGCCTCTGAGGTAAATAGTGACATTTACAGAGTTATACTGTCCAAAGATCACATAACTAATAAGCAGCAGTACTGAGACCTGGGTTCAGATTTTTTAGTCCAGTCTTTTGCAGCATGACAGCTGATACGCATTCACAGTAAACCATGGTGGTAGGAAATTTGTACTAAAAGGGATCCATCAAGGTGTTTTAAAGTCCTGGAGAATTGTGGATATTTAGGAATGTATGTACAGAATTTTACTACACTGCCAAGTGTGGTGGAACATGCCTGTAATCTTAGCATTTGGGGGCCTAAGACTGGAGGATTGCTGTGAGTTTGAGGCCAGCCTGGGCTACATGGTAAATTCCAGTCCCGCATGAACTATGTAGCAGGACTCCATCTGCAAAACAAGAAAGAAAGAATTTTACTTCATAAGTACATGCTCATAGCTATATTTGATCTGTCATACTTGTACAGGGAATACTTGGGATTCTGGTGTTAAGCATTTAATTGCCGGGCATGGTGGCACATGCCTGTAATCCCAGGTAGTCAAGAGACTGAGATAGGAGAATCACAAATTCAAAGTCAGCCTGGGTAGTTCAGTGAGATCCTATCTCAAAACTAAGAAGGGCTGAGATTGTAAGCTCAATGATAAAGCAATACAGTACATTTTTTTAAAAAAAAGGCATCTTGTACTGCTCTATGCACAGCAGCATAGTGTCATTACCTACATAAGGATGCCTGGAGGTTGAAAAGAAGCTACTGCTTTTATATAATACAGATTTAGAAATAAAGCCTTTTTTTAAATTGAGCATCATGTAATCCTAGCTTCTTGGGAGGCTGAGGCAACAGGATCACAAGTTAAAGGCCAACCTAAGCTATTCATTCATTCATGTTTTATTTGCTTGCTTGTTTGTTTGTTTGTTTTTGGTTTTTGAGACAAGGTCTCACTATGTAGTTCACACTGGCCTTGAGCTCACTGTATTATCCAAACTGGCTCTGAACCTGCTGTGATCCTCCTGCCTCAGCTTCCCAAGTGCTGGGATTATAGGTATATACCACTGTGCCCAGCCAACCTGGGGAATTTAGCTATACCCTGTCTCAAAATTTCAAAAGGACTAAAGCTGTTGTGTGGCAGGAAGCACTTGCCTATTGTGTATGAGGCCTTGAATTCAAACCCCAGCATCAAAAACATATTAAGTAAAGGTGTTTTCCAGCTACATGTAAACTTTTAAAATGTTACCTATTCTTTGGGCAGTTTTAGACTTACTATTTATACATTTTAGGCTTACTATTCACAGTACTTTTTACCTAGAAACAAAGGTAAGACCTTGAGTGATGACTCATCATCCATATGACGTAACTGTGAGGATCGAGATTTACTGAGCAGATCTCTAAGGAAGTTGCAGTTCATTTTCCTTATAAATGAAAGCACTTTTCCTTCTTAAAGGAAAAAGACAAAGCTGCAGTCTGGTCTTACTTACTACACATTAGATGACTTGGGGAAAAAGCATAGAAACAATCTAGAAAAATTTTGTAAAAACACTATTTCACTTTTTGAATATATGAAGATACATTGTGAAAACAAGATCTGGAGAGATGAGGTTATGTGATGATAGTCATAAAAGCAGCTTTATATTTTCTTTTACTATATAGCCAATGCTGGCCTGCAACTTGAGTTCATGTTGCTTAAGTCTCCCTAGTGCCAGGATTATTGACATGTGCTACCACCAGCACAAATTATTTTTGATATTTAAAATCTGAAGTGGATTTTTATAATATATATATTATAAAATTAAGTCTCTCTATATATAAAATTTTTATAATACATAAAATTATTATAATAATATATATAAATTTTTATAATATATATTATAAAATTAAATCTCTCTCTCTCTCTCTCTCTCTCTCTCAGACTTGTTAATGTTGTACCCCAAAAACAAGGCACCAAGATGTTATTCAAAAAAAACCAGGCAAGAGGTTTTTTTTTAAAAGGAAAAAGAGTGCTTTTATTTAAGCTGGCACCAGGGACACAGTGCAGATGCAAAGCTGTGCAACTGGGTTAGAATATTGACAGATATTTATAGCAATGCAAAGTAAGGAGTGATGTGAAGTGAGCAAGAATGCAGAAAGGTTTTGTTCCCCTTTGCTTGGGGTCAGAGATGATTGGAAGTTGGTGATTAGTCCTAATTCACAGCCTTTGGCCTGCTAATTCCAGGAACATTTGTTTCTCACAAAGGGAACGAAGGTTGACACAGCAAACAGGTTACTAGGGTGAGGGTGCATACAGAACAGTATGATGACGCCTCAGTTAATCTCTAACTGTGTGGTCAGTGCTTCAGTCAATCTTTTTAACTTTGCATTTTAGTTTTTTAGCATTTTAGTGTACAGTTAATTTGCTTTTTGAAACAGGATAGTAAAATGCTGGAATTGGAAGTCCCATTTGACCCAGCTATTCCGCTTCTGGTCATATTCCCAGAAGAACTGAAAACATCATATCAAAGTGATATATGTGCACTCATGTTTATAGTAACATAATTTGTGATAGCCAGATCTTGGAAACAACCTAAAACCCATTAACTGAGGAATAGATAAAAAAGATATGGTATATTTATACCATGGAATACTACTCGGCTATA